GTTAATAAAATCCGAGGGAAGCTCTCTTTGACGACTTGAAATCAGCTTCCCTGAAACTCATATTCTTACTGCTAGGCAAAGGGCTTCATCTCTTTTTACTGCCGTTTACTGCAACAATCTTGCTCTGAGAGTCCAGACTTGCTGGGCTCTATTCTACCTTCTGGCTCTAAACCTGACACTACCTACGCAGTCTAATTTGAAAGATGATCCTTAATTACTATTAAATACAATAATGCAAATATTTAATTGCGAGGCACATGTAAATACTAAACTGCCACTAGAAACTTTTTTCCTTATTTTAGGGTGAGTGTGTGCGTGTGTGTGTGTGTGTGTGTGAGTGTATTTGGTATGCATACATGTTAGTGGATGTAGAGGACTACTTTGTTTTCTTCTTTCCTCATGTGGGGCTCAGGCATCAAACACAGATCATCAGGCTTAGTGACAAGCACCTTGACCTACTGAGAGAGTTACCTCCATGACCTGTGCATTCTGGTTTTTATTATTATTATTATTATTATTATTATTATTATTTATTATTATTTGTTTGATCACTTGTTTATTCTTGAGACAGGCTCTTGCTATGTGGCCCAGGCTGAATTCACAATGCCTGCCTGGCTTCTCCTGTCTCGACCTTCCCAGAGCTGGCATTACAGGCATGTACCAAACTCCACTTAGACAACTGATTTCTATTAACTATTACAGCATCCATCTCTTCTTATGTGGATCTCTGAATCCATAGCCTGTTATGCAGAATGCAGCCTCTAGCTCGGAGGTTGAACATTCTTCTGTGAAGGGCCGTGGGGTCGGCTATTTAAGCTTTTAAGCCTCTCATTGGTGTCACAACCCCTTAACTGTATTTCTAACCTGAGCTCTGTCACAGAGAATGTGTAAGTGTTGCTGTGTTACATACAAATCGGTTGGATCTGACCTGAAAGCCACAATTTCCCACCTCTGCTCTAAAAGCTTCACAAATCTCACAGCCTTTCTTTAGTTTGCCAATGGCCCTTTACAATATGTCACCAAAATCTCTGCGTACCTCGCTCTAAGGGTGGCTGCAATGGTATAATAGGGTTAATGAGTACTATGCACAGGAACTGTTTGGGGTGATGAGTTTTTTAAGTAAGAAGAACATGTTCATGAGTAGGCAAAGTTGCTCAGCAGTTAAAAGTGTCAGTCGTAACTAAGGAACACTGAGAACAGTAGCAAGAGGCTTGTTCCCAGGGATAGGCCCCCAACGAGTTATTCAATACCAAATGGTCAGTCCTGAGACTATATTCACACAATAACACTAAGGGACTAAGAAGGCATACACACACACACACACACACACACACACATATGAAAAGAAGGCCATAATACTGAGAAGAAGCAAAGGGGAGTACATGAGAGTGAGGATTGAAAGGGGGGGAAAGAAAGGGGGAATTATTTTTGTAATTATATTTTATTTTAAATTTTTAAATTTAATTTTTATAAGAGTATTTGCATGCATATGCAGGCCTGATGACATACATATTGTTATATAGCAATATATTTGTATATATCAATGTGTATGTGTGTGTATATATATACACCTTCTCAGTCCCTTAATATTACTTGTGTGAATATAATCTCAGGACTGACCATTTGGTATTGAATAACTCATGTGTGTGTGTGTTGGGGGGAATACTGGGGCCGCAGTTGTGGAGTCCCAGTGGGTTTCCATGCTGCGGCGGGTCCTACAGGCAGGAGGAACTAACATTCCAGCGGCCTGAAGGCTTTGGCAGCGGCAGGCCCCAATGACACGAAGAAGTCCTTGGTTCCAAAAGGTTTTATTGTCATGGCGGATGATGGATGAACCTGGAAGTACCCCTGTAAAACTCAGGGCAGTCCCGAGTTAAATAGGGAGGGAGAAAGGGGGAGGATCTGGGGAGGCGTGCTTAATTTGCTCCGCCCTCTGGCCTTCATAGTATGTAAATCCCTAGGGCCTGAGGCCTACAGTCACGCCTTCTACCTGTGCATTTTGGGAGGGGCTGCGTCTACGTGACTGAACAATGTAGTTCTATGGAGACCAGACTGCTTTTCAGGACCCTGGGTTCTGGGTGCATGCTGAACTCCTGCTGGTTTCTCACACAGAGTCTCGGGGTTCTAGGCAACTGCCCAGCCATGACCCAGAATACCCTTACACAGTCCCACATGCGTGTGTGTGTGTGTCTGTGTGTGTCTGTGTGTGTCTGTGTGTGTGTGTGTGTGTTTTTAAATTTAAAAGCACGTACCTTATTTTTGGTTTCAGCACCTGCTTTCATCAATGTGCTCTTACTGCTCTTGTGCCCAGTCACCCGTGTTGGTCACTGGGAAACCCTGATTGCTGAGAACGGATATGAGTCTAACGTCTTCCTGAGACACACTACATAGGTGAGCTGTGCGCCTCCAGCCTGCCTGTCTCTCAGCAGCTCTCAGCATTCCGAGGGGAACACTCAAGTCCTTTGTCTCCACTAGGACAAGAGATGAAAGGGTTCCACCCAGCACAATACACAGACCTTAAAAATAAACAAACCAATAAACAAACAAACAAACTTAGCATTTAACGCTCACTAAAAAATCCATTGTTTCTCAGTAGACCGTGAATACAAACTTACTTTGGTCATGCTTTGCCCACAAATGAGAAGTGTTCATTCATTTTTAAATTTCTCCTTGTAAAATATGGATAGTCAAGGATTACCAGGCATTTCAGAAAAAAACACACACACAAAAAACAACCCCAACATTTAAAACAGAGACCAAGGTAAACATGTTAAAAGAAGCACAACTTAGAATCGATACAAGGAACCTTCCTGCATAAACACAGATGGCGGAGGGGGGCAACTTAACATGGCCAGTGAGAGTTTCATAGTCTGTTAAGAAAAGGTGTTGTAGGAAGGCGCTGATGCTCCTTCTCCACAGGAGCAGGTTCCAAAACCTCCCGAAGCCTCTGAGCCTACACATGTGTTCTCTCAAACAAAAATAGTTATAATAAAGTATGAATTATAAGTAAACAGAGTAAGAGGTTAACAGTGATATACCATAACACAGGTGTGATATACTGTAATGAAATTGAATCATGTATCTTCTTCTTTCTCCTCCTTCTCCTCCCAGAATTTCTTATACAGCGCTCAGCCCTCTTGTGATTATGCATGTTAACACGATTTCCTAATGATGAGATGTAGTGAGGAAACAGGCCTCTTGAACATGTTAGGCTGCACAGTAGTTACATGAACAGGTCCACAGTCAGACAACATGCAGAGCTGCTAAGTAGCTAACAGGAAGGACACATGTATCATGTGGACACTCAGGACAGCAGATAACTCATGCCCTAGTAAGGAGAGAATGCAACAGTTTTATCACGTTGCTCAGAATGACACATAATTTAAAAATGTTCCACTTATTCTTATAATCTTGGATTTCCAGATTGTAGTTAACCGTGAGTAACAAAACCATGAAAGATGTTCTGTTGGACAAAGGAGACCATTGTCTCAGACAAGAGGTGGATAAACAGGAACCCTAGAACTGAAGAAAATGAATTCCAGGTTGCAATGGTCCACAGAAGTGCATCCGAATGCACAGTGCACCTCCATTTCCCCACACAAGGAAGTTTTGCTGGCTTGACTGATGGCCCCACACCATCATGAAGAGGCAGATTCCTCACACAAAGAAACTTACAAGCTAATGGTGGGTGAGCGCCTCAAAGACTCTTTGTTAAGACACGTTTTCCCCCAGCCCCAGACCCTGGACACAGCACTATTTGGCTCCCAGCAAATCATGAGCCTCATCCAGATGACTGACTATTTTATCCCATCATTATGACAGACAGATTTCGCTCCTGTCCTCAGCTGGTGGGAACTTAATTCTCCCACTCCAGGAGGGCCCCTCCCCAAGTTCTCTGAAGCAAGTTGTGTGTAAATATTTATGCTTTCTTCTCTCATTCCACCTTGACAGCCCACCTTCCACTGAGTTGACATAATGAGAGAAACCATGACAACGAAAGAAAATGTGTGACATACATCTGCCTTCTCAAATACCGGTAAAAACAGGATCTGAAAGAACAAATAAGGATACATGCATGGATAGTCTTCACAGTGATGAAAAGAAGGTATGAATGACCATTTATATACATGTAGAAAGGATTAAGTAGCTTGCCCAGAGACCCACAGCTTGGAAACTGCACCCAAATTCTGACCCAAGTACCTCCTTCTATTGTACAGATTTAATTGTTCTATGACCTCTCCTCTTCTCTCTCTCTCTCTCTCTCTCTCTCTCTCTCTCTCTCTCTCTCTCTCCTTCCTCCTTCTCCCACCCTCTTTTCTTCTCCCTCCCAACCCCACACATTTGTATAATTTGGCATTTAATTTTAAGTCACCTATAAAACTAATCATTAGTATTCACAATTCACAAATTAATCTCTGAATTGAAGATCTGATATTGTAGAAAGGTACCTTTGAGGTGCTGAGACCTGACTTGAGGAAGACAAGAAGCTATAACAGAAAAATCCAATGCCCTGGAGAACCAGACATGAGCCACAGGTCTGACCCAAACACAAACTAATTAAATAACCTCCAGGGCTTGCTGGTCCCTTATCTTCTAGACTTAACTTTTCTGAGTTCCCTTCAAACTCTGAGGTCTCCTCAGAAAACATGTAATTCCCTCTACATGCATGCTGTGGTTCCTTAGCTTGATGTTTTTGTTAGACTCCTAACAGTGGGAGAGAGGGGTGTCTCCGATTCTTTTGCCTGTTCTTGGGACCCTTTTCCTCTTGCTGAGTTCCCTTATCCAGTCTTCTGCCTAGTCTTATGTATCTTGTCATGCTGTGTTTGGTTGGCATCCCTGGGAGGTCTGCTCTTTTCTGAAGGGAAATAGAGGAGAGTAGATCTGGGGTGGGGGTGGGGGATGTGAGGGAGGAGTGGAACTGGGGCAGTGGAGGGACGGGAGGTTGAGGTCAGAATGTATTATATGAGAAGATAATAAATTAATTTTTTAAAAAAATATGACCTGCCCCTAGAGGCATTGCAGGTGTGGCTGCTGTGTCACATGTGCATCAGAAGATAGCAGAGAGGACAGAGGCCATGTCTACACTCTGTTCTGACCTGTGTGCATCTGAATGCTAGTAGCCTAACATAACCTGAAAAGACAGTTAGTCTGAGAAGACCACCAGTCCAGCGACAGGAAGGCCCAGATGGGCTCCCAAGATGGGGAGCAAGTCAGAGACTAGAAGAACCCCACCCAGAATCATGAGCGCTGGGCAAGAGTGAGCCTCAGACCGAGCACCCTAGCAAAGGGCCACTAGAGCAAGCCAGGCAAGGAGCACACCCAAGATGACCATCAGTCTGGCATCATGGAGCTCAGACAGGGAGCTAGCCTGAGATGACCACCAGTCCCATGCTGTACAGGCCTTGAGGGGAGCAGATGATGCCCGAGATGACCCCTACCCAGATCCATAATGTAAAGCACTCCTAGGACCACCCTTGAAACCCCTCCTGAGATGACACCAGCCACTCAGAGACCCTGGGCACCATTAAGAGGAGCAAGTAAGTGGTAGAGAAATGGAAGAGAAAGAGACACAGAAGGATGTAGGCACAGTGAAGAGAGAAGAACTGGAGATTCCAGGGTAGTGAAGAAGAGCCTGATGTGGGTAGCCAGTGGTGCCACTTGCGACCACGGTGGGGTCCTGGTCTGTGCTGCCACCAAGGGCCACATCTGGGCTTGTGGCCCTGCAGCAGTGGGAATCTGTTACCACCAAGGACCAGCTGTATGTCCCTAGGGACATGATGTCTGAGGGTTGTGCAAAACTGGGACCACCCCTCACCTGGGCACCAGGAAAGTGCTGGCCCTGGAAACATGAATCAGGAGAGCTGCCCCCGCCCCCAGCCAGCTTCGGTGCTCTGGAAAGCAGGCCCTGCACACTGTGGAAGTTGCAGGTAAGCAGGCCCTGAGGATATAAGCATGGGAGACCTACCATTACCACTGCATGCCCCCCATGCAGTGGTGTGGACAAGAGGTAGAGACCCTCCTTCCTTCTTGCCCTTCACCATCTGAGGCAGGTAGGAGACCTGACCCAGGGATGACAGTTATCCCTGCCCCTCCCCAGCTGCAGCACTTGAGAGAGCCATCCCTGTACCTCACCTGGGCAGCACAGTAGAGCTGACCCTATGGTAGGGGCATGGGTGAGCCAGCCCCAGGGGTTTGAGCACAGAAGAGCTGTCCTCCCAACTTGTCTGCCCCCTCCCACCCTCTCACCTCGCTACCTGTGGCAGGCAGGAGAGCTGGCTCTGGAGTTATGAGAGCAGGAGAGCTGGCCCTGCCCCTCACCTGGGCACTTGGGACACCAGGCCCTGAACTTCATCTGGGTGGGCAGCACAGAAGAGCTGGCCCTCAATGTGTGGTTGCAAATGAGCCTGCCCAAGGGCATGAGAGGCCTGCCTCCTGTCTGCTGGACCGCAGCACAAATGAGGGAGAGGCTTCCTCCTCCCCTCCCTTGTCCCTTACCATCTATGAAAGGCTGAAGAGCTGGCCCTGGGGTCATGAGAGTGGGAGAACTAGACATGTCTTCTCACAGGGTGCAACACTTTAGAGAGTGGGCCCTGCACCTCACCTGGGCAACCGGATAGAACTGGCCCTGGTTGTGGGTTTTGCTACTGAGCCAGCCCCAAAGACGTGAGACTGGAAGATCTGGCAGATTGACCAGCTCAGATATCTCTCAGACCCAGATCCAAGGCTTTGAATTGGCCCACCCCAACATCTACCCTATAGATGAACTGCTGGAATGCGTGAAGCTAGTCCTACAGATCCAAAACTCCAGGATCTCCATGACCCAGGACAATGACAGAAAAGCTGAGAGGAGTCCCAGGGAGGTTCCAGTATTAATAGAGTAGCAGAAGCCAGAGACATTGAACCAGATCAATGAGTCATTGCAATGAACATTTGTGAGAAAAGAGTTGTGGACAAAAGGGTATACTGTGGGACACACTGACACAGTACAGCTTCCACAATATTTTTTTCTCTGTTGGGGGGAGTGGGTTGCAAGGGTGGAGGACGAGTATGAAGGGATGGGGAGATGAGTGGGATTGGGGTACATGATATGAAATTCACAATGAACCAATAAAAAGTTTACAAGTATTTACCATGGAGTAGGGGAAAGAAATGAATGAACAGGAAGCTGACTCAACAGGTAAAAGCATTTGAGCAAGTATGATTGCCTATGTTCCATTCCCAGAACCCATAATGGAAGGAAAACATGGGCTGTCATCCTCTGACCTCTACAGGCACATGGTAGCACTCAGTCCTCACATGCTTGCTTGCATGCACATGCATATACATGCCTGAGCATGTGCACATGCACACACGTGCGCACACACACACCAGATAATAAAAATAAAAATTGTAAAGCAGTAAATAAAAATTATTGAAATTCAAGAGTAATCAAAAATAAAAATTAAATCGATATATTTATTTGCCTATCAAACTAGAAAATAGCTCTAGATTTTAATTTTTCTAATAGCCAAATAATAATAACTAGAAATTGAAGATACAGAGAAAAAAATCATCACTTAGAGTCCCACCAGACAAAAATAATTGTCATATTTCTTTTGAGGCAAGGTCTTACTGTATAACCCATGTTGTATGCGTGTTCTAGAGCTCACCTCAGCCTGTGTACTGGGGATTCGAGGGCACCCACCACACTCAGCTCCTGATAACACTTAACCAAAATCCTTCACAAACACCATGTTCTCTTGCTGTATCTTTTTCATTTTAATTCGGAGGTGATTGTCTCTTGCAGGATTTGTGTCATAATTTAACCAGCTCCCTGTAGGGGACAATATTGTTGTTATTATAAGTAATGCAGAACAACCATCCCCATATAGATATTTCTTGCTCTGCATTTCTAGGAGTGCAGTTTCTACCGTGTGCATATCTGGGGCATATCATGACCTTTGCTGACCTGTCTCTGCAAGTATGCTGCACTCTTCTGCCAGCTCCATCTGAGTCACACAAGCTCATCAACACACAGTACAACTGCTTCAACGTCGGTCAGACCAACGGATATACCTGTCTCCCATAGAGACTGTAAACTGCCTCACGGCTACCAAGCATTCTCAGTTCTTTCCCTATCTATATTTGTTCTATCATTTTCTCATTTTTCCATTGGATATTGGTGATAGTAAGAAAGAAGAGACAGATGTTCAAATGTGCATCTCAGTTGATAAGCATATAGGCGGAATGTTGCCGTCTGGAGGGATCTAGGCTGGAGATAGGATTTGGGAATCATGAAGGAACACATAGTGGCTATAAGCCACTTAGGCACTTTAATAAGACTCCCTGATGGTTGTGCATGAATACAAAGTTTAGAGTCAAACTTCGGAGCACACTAATATCTAAGAGGTAAGAGACAAAGACAGAATAAGGGAAATGTAGGACTCCTTGTTCAAAATGCACAGCCAATAGTTAAAGCTATATAGAGCTTTTCCTACATTCTCATTCTCTCTCTCTCTCTCTCTCTCTCTCTCTCTCTCTCTCTCTCTCTCTTTCTTTCGCTCTCCTCATGGCTTTTATTTGCTATTTAATGCCATTCCAAGAAAAACAGTTTTGAATTATTAGCATAGTTTTATCATTTGTCTTTATATTGTGTTAAAGTTTAAAATTTTATGGCATATAATTTACAGATAATAAATTTGCCCATCTAACGTATTTTCACAGAGTTGTGCAATGATTTCCACAATCTAATTTTAAAACATTTCCATCATCCAAGAAAGCAACACTCTCAGTTCCATTAACATTTCCAATTAGTCCCTTTTCTACCCCTAGGCAATCACTAATCCTGTCTATTTTATTTTGTTCATTTGGATACATAGAATAAACTGGCTCATACTATTTATAGTCTTTCACTGTACCTATTTTAATACAAATATCAGACTGTTTAACCTACATGTGATATCCTATATATTATTTAATTTGTGAAATAATAAAGTTTGTTGGTGTCTCATCTCTGGAGGGTCCTTTTAGCTAGATAAGGGAGACAAGAAATCTTGTTGCAAACAAGGTAGAAGACAAGGGCTGACTCCCCAGCTTGACCTCTGACCTCCACATGGGCTCCATGGCATGCATGCTTCAGCAGCCACATACACAAACATACACATCATACAAACAAACCACAATGTAAGCTGTCGTAGCAAAACCACATCAGGCTGCCATACACAGAAGAGGAGCAGAATCAGAGCTGTACATATTTAAACAACAGAAAAATAACACTTAATACAATCAGGGAACTAATAAATTAGTTTGAAAATTAAGTTGTATTTGAAAAGATTAGTTAACACATTTGAAAAAGAACAGAAGGAAAATCTAGAAATTCAAATCATCAACTTTGAAACTGAAACCTTAATGATTTAACAGCAAATTAGACACAATGCAAAGGAGATGCAAAGAACTAGAAAACAGATCTACGTGAATGGAGAATGCAGTGCAGGGCAACAGCTACAAGGGGGAAATGCAAAGCATGGACTGAAGAGCCTGTATGTGGATACATGCCTGACATGTGTTTGTTTGAAATTCTCTAATAGCATCCTAACCTTACCAAAGTGGGACGCCACTGTCAGAGTTAGAGAAACCGGACAAGAGATACAAAGTTTCTGCATGAAAAAGAACTCATCTCCAGGTGGCTTCCCCAGAGAGTTCTACCAGTCACAAAACCCAATTCCACATGTGTGGAAACCTTTCCATGTTAAAACATAATGGGCCAGTTTATAACTTGCCTTTCCGTGTTATGAGGCAGAGATATGCATGATTCTAAAACAGGAAAAGGACTTGCAAAAGTCAGGCTAGTTTCAACCAAGAGTGTGGAAGCATAACGTTAGTTCAATGTTATGAAAAAAAAAACCCAATGTAATTCTTCTAATTGAAAGGAAGAAAATAATGCAATTATCTTGATGAATGAAAATTATGAGCAAATTAATATCTATTTGTATTTTTAAGTAGTAATTTAAGATATAAGTGGGCTTACCTAACCTGATAGAGATTTCAACATGTATACCCTCAGAAGTCCTCATGACACGCAAACATTGGAAGTTTCCCTTTGCCATTGATCATGTGACAGTCACCTATTATCATCATTCTAAGAGAATAC